TTTTTTATTTGCTGAGATATTGCTCATGTGATAAATCAAACACAGTGGCACCCCACCTCCCTCTTTCCATTTTTAGAAACACTCCCTTATATATATATATAGTGAAAGGTCACTATAATAAAAATAATAAATATATATATAAATGTATAATGTTATGAGATTTAAGCTATTTTGTCTAAACATTTATGTTTTCATGTTATAATTTGTGTTCATTCTAGAATGAAAGAGGCATAATTTATGTTTATTTCCTAATTTTTTATGGTGGTTGCGAGATCATTCAAATCTACCGAACCCATACAGAGATTAATTACGGAAAATAAAAATTAAAATATAAAGTTTTTTCTTAAGAAACGTTTCATAACTATCTGGACATTATAAGAATTTCACATGTGAAATTTCAAAATTTTGTGATGCATAAAAGTATTTTTAATCTTAAAATGTAAATTACTTTGTATGATAGATAGGCAAGATGTGAAAAAAAAAAAGGCATGAGAGAAACATTGCTTTACTAACCTTACGACTCAATAAAAAAATTAGATATTTTGTGTATCAAAGCATTGTAACATTTACTGATAATCTGCCAAATTTTGTTAACATTCACTTACTAATTTAAAAGTTATAGCATAAAAAATATAACAAGCACAAAATGGTTATGAGGTCGTCACATTGACCGACCCCATATTGAAAGAGTATATTGTAGAATGGTTATATGGAATTTGGATTCCTGTACTGACTTGTCCTACCTGTATAATTAACTCTTCCACTTGTCCACAACCAATTTTATTTTCCAATGTGCCTATATTTTCTTCCTATGATAAGAAAAAAAAAAAGTTTTAGAATAAACAGGGTCATTAAACTAACATAAAAAATCATTTAAGTCTTAAAAAGTAGTTCCGTAACAGATTAGCTGTTTTGTCATTAGCTTTGTCCAACTTGTACTCTCAACAGTTACTAGTATACAAGTTTCTTAAAGAAATACAAGGGGTCAAACAAATCACTATAGAGGATATTGCAGTTTATGCACCATCAATCTATTTGTGAGTCTCGTATTTACCACGATTTTCTAAGTCAAGTTCATTTTTTATTAACAGTCTCTTTTTATTTTGATACAATAATAATTGGCTGGAATGTAATTATTCTTGCAGGATGTGTGAAAGTGACCCTGATGTGTGGGGACCCTGCATGTTCACTTGACCTTACACCATCAGTTGTTTTTGAATTTTGTGCTAAGATACTGGAGGGCTACCTGCTCTAGTTATCCCTAATTTTGAAATGATAGAGGAAGGCAACTAGTCAATGCCACCCATAAGCTAATTTAATTGAATATTGGGATTTGATCATCACTCTTATAATGCACTCGTGGCCCAAAAGTGTGTAGCACAAGTTATTTCTTAGTGATAATGGGGTGCAACTCAAGGAATCTTGGATTCAGAGTATGGCACTCTAACCCATGATCACACCTACACTATTAAACTTCTTTTGGAGATACATCAAACACTTGGTATTTGTCAGACATCCAAATAACCTGAAAGGTTTGAAATAAAGAATCAAAACAGCCTTTATAACTGTAACAATGCAAATGTTACAAAATGTGAGCTGTAACCTCAGTGAAAGATTGACATTGTCACAAGACATCAATGGTGCACATTTCAAATAGCTGTAAAAGCAGGACTTACAAAAATCATGATAAAGTGACACTTTTGTATCACGCTATAAAAAATATTTTTGTATGTTTTTTTTGATAAAGAAATACCTAACTTTATATTACCAGGTATCTGCCAGCTTAAGTAACTGGGCTCTCTGTTATTATGGAAATATTTATAAGTTATAAATCACCACAAATGTAGTATATATGTAGTCAAGTTTAAAGCACCTAATGAGTGAGAGTTTCAGTCTACGATGCCAGAACATAATCCAACCATATGTTGAAGCTATTTAAAAAATAAGTTAATGATGACTTAAAATATTGAAAAGGTAATCAAAATGTTTTGACCGAATGATAAAACTGGATGCTAGTTTCCAAGTAGGTTAATTATTTTAATTACTTTTCATAAATTATATATTTCTTAGCAGAAGGGTTCATGAGTTGATAAAGTTTAACAGTACCAACATCATTGTGCACCTAAATTATACAAAAAAATCAATTTAACTACCAATTATATTGTGTGTATTTCTGAGGGCATAAACATTACAGAAATATCACAAAATAGAAGCAAAAAACCTTTATAACATGTTTATTCTGTCTTTCCAGAATGTAACATAGAAATTTACTAGTGTTATAAGCTATATTCTGAATGACGTAATTTGATGGTTAGCTAGAGAGCACATGACATTACATCAAGCAAGTTTGTGAGAATAGTTCTAGAATATCCTAAACTGACGTCACAAAAACCTGGTGACTTTGCAAAATATCTAGAACAAGGATTAGATATAAATATAGTAAGGCAGTCAATATGTAAGTAAGTTTGTAGAATGTCCAGTTTTCAGTTACTTGATCAATCAGTCAAGAAGTTATACAAGTTACTATATTTCCTATGTTAGTCAAAGTATCAGTTATAAAGTTACTTAGGCCTACAACTTATAAGTTTCCAAGTGTACAAGTCTGTAAGGAAATGTTAAAGAAGAAATAAACTAAATAGACTTTTAATTATATTCACTAGATAATTTCAAAGAGCCTACCAATGAAAGAACAATGTTTACAACAATATAATATTGTCTGCTTATAGCAAATATCAAAGGGCAGAGACATATTACGAATTCTTGGGGCCCTATGCATAAAGAATACTATTTTAATTTAATTGAACATAGTATCATTTAACGTGCAATATCAAAACTCAATCTTTACTGTTGCAGAAACCCTTTGGAATGCTCATGGACCTCTAGGCTGCTGGTTGAGAATGAAGACTAGAGTCTATTTTTTGAAATTAAAGTACACAATATATTTTTGAAAAAACAAATAGATAAAATATCTACTTATATTGTGACTTCAGTTTTTGAAGGATAACTTTTTAAAGCACCCAACTGTTGGTAAGTTGAATAACTTGTTTTAATTTACCTGAAAGCTGTTATTAGATCTAGTTCAACATAAGTAATTCTCTTTTACAGATTTTATACTTTAGGTATATTATGCTTCCTCAAATAAGTGTATTTGAGTGATTTTTCCTCTAACTAATCAGATCCTTATAATATTAGGGAAAAAAAAATCAACGATAATAATTCCACGGAGTGAATCCAAAAATTAAAATGTTCAGGTTTCTATTTCCATTGGATCCCAGATCATTCTTAGGCTTGTTAGTTGAAAATAGAGTTTAGTTAAACACTGCTAATGTTTGAAGTATTAGTTCATATATATTAATGGCTCACACTAAAACTAAAAATACAAGAATTCTAAAAGCATGTTTCAGTTTTTTCTAATGGCTCATTTTATACAGTATTTTTTCAAACTTGACAAAAAAAAGATATTGATCAAACATAAATCATATGAGAACAAAAAAACTGTTCCAGGGTAGAAGAGTAAAGAAGTCTATGTACTTCATGGCCTACATGATGAGAATACATCTTGAATGTTATTAAAATGCCAGTTCCAAGGCTGTTTTTTTATTTGGGAGATGACCTACAAGAATAATTATAGTATCAATTTAAAGACTGTTCCAAAGAAGTAAAGAAAAAATAAGAATAATATATATTTGGATTCCCTGTACTTCCAGCTTCAAGTTAATACATATGCTACTTATCTACGATAAATACCTTAAAAGTACATCATGCTTGACTTGATCTTTCAGCTCAAAGGCCAAGCTGTAAGCTAAAATATATTTGCAGCACTGGGGCCAGAACCCTCATAGCTTCCCTGTGAAACCATGTTCTGTAAATCATTTCCCATATGCTCTTTTTTATTTCTTATTCCTCAGTATTTCTTTTATTTTTTCTATCTAAATATGTGTTTATATATCGCCAACAACAACAAAAAACAAGGCTAAACTTAGAATAAAATAATCCCAAACAGTTTAGTTAGTAAAACAAAGACAAAAAAATCTTTTGGATAATTTCAGAATTTTATTCATGTTAAAATCTGGTTCAAGAATAACTAACATTTGAAAAATATATGAATCATTTCTGTAAAATAATACTTTTAGAATGGAAACTTTTGTCATAAGCTAAATATTCAGTAACATTATGTTGAAAGGTCAGACAGTACAATAAGCCTTGTTACTATTCTTAGATGTACAGTTTCTATATTAAGAATTTTACAAATAAATTCAGGAGTAGTTGTGTATGTTATCATCTCAGTCTCAGAGGGAAATAGTTTCCATAATGATGACATTTATGGGAAGTAGGCTCTTAAAAATGACTTGCTGCCCATGTTGTCACAACTATTGTACAGTTGGTGAGGTATGAACACATATTTTACGACATAAAAACAAAAATTTAAATGATCAAAAGTCAATGAGAAAAGTCTAGGTGTAATTTGCAAGCTTTACATGCAAATTAATTTGGGTATGCAATCAACAGCAATAAAAATCATAATAACAATCTCATACATCTACAAACTGTGATGTATGAAAATTGAAATAGATATTCAGGTCTCATAACTGGATATTTGCTGAATTACATATGTAACCTATTTTTGGATTTTATTCCATTAAATATGCAAGAATCAATCTTGAACCTGTGGTTCATGACAAATCATGAAAACTAGTACATACGTTTATCTATATAATCTAGATGGTTAAACTTATCTTCTTATCTTTCACCCATCCACAGTAGAACCTCGACATTAAGGGCACTTTTCCGACTGCATCCAAATGCCCTCTTTAGCAAGGTGCCCTTAATATAAAAAATGAGCCACAAATATGAGCTGGATTCCATATTGACCATACTAGATTACTGAATTTTAAGGCCCCAATTTTGTTTGGTGTATGCAGGACATGGTTGTTCGTGAGTTGCACGTTGCCATGACACGGAGAGTTGTCAACAAGAGGTCTCAGGGGGTGGATTAGCTGTGCCCTTTTTTCTTTATTATTGGTCACAAAGTTTCAAAGTACTTCTCTTTAGAGTTTGAATTGCTAAACATTTCACATTTATTTTCTGTGTTTATTTTACTGTCAAAGACTGAAGTAGAAATCTGCTGAAAATAAAGCAACAAATCATCTTGTGTCATTAGACTGTTTACGTAACACTGTAATATGATACTCTCGAGACCAATAAAGCACATGCATAGAAATAAGCCAACTTGACCCCTGCTCTGAGAACAAGATGTGAAATTTATCAGTTTATGTATCCTTGTGTTTACAATGAGAAGTCCTCAGAGTAATAAGATTGCACTTTGAATCTGTGACAACTTTTATTACAGTATATAGTTTGGAGCTGATCCAATAAACATATCAAGTGTTTGAATATCGGTCATCCTTCAGGGATGTTTGGAATTTAGCAGTATACTGTACAGGTGTACAAAGATAACTGCCCACTTTATCAAGTGCCCGTATAGAGAACAAGACTAAAAACATTGCTCCTAATCTGGAATATCAAGGTAGCTGTTATTGCAAGATTTATTTTGGTTACAAATAGAAGGAAAACGAAAGAGACTGAACAGGTCTGCCCTTAATGGCGTGGTGCTCATTAATTGAGGTTCTACTGGATCACTCTGTTTGATAATAATAATGATATCCTGCTTGCAAGCCATAATTAACAAATAGCTCAGCCTATCATTTATCATAGCTGATCAGTCTTTTTCACTAGTTTCCTCTTACTGAAGGCTCTTTCACCTTCAGCTAAGGCAACAGGAAAATCAAGAGAATTAAGAGGTCTGTATGTTAGTATATTTATATCTTATTGGTAAATAAATACTTACTAATTTTGGAAAAAACCATGAAACATGATAAATAACTGCAAAATATAATTTTGCTGAATGGTTTTGCATTTGATTCAGTACACCAAACTATACACAATTAGGCAAAACTGGACTTTTGAAAAACCATACAAGTACAAAAAAGTCATTCAGTATAATTGGGCTAAATAACAACAAATTCAAAATGATAAATAACTAACTTATTGTTATTCTGTAAAAGTTAAAGCTTGCTTCTCAATTCCAGTTGGATTTTCAAAACCCTCAACTTCAAATTATAAAAGAGCCTTGTGATAAAATATAAATTAAAATAAGAACAATACAATGACGAATAAAAGTATACTGCAAACTTTCTTGTTGCTAAATAGTTTTGCATTCAGTGAAGTAAACACTGCATCATTCAATAACTTTTTAAAGTTTAAAGTCATGGTAAATAACAATTCACTGTGAAGTTTCTTGTGCCAAAGAATAGTTTTACACAAACCGCTTGCTGTACCATTCACTGTATTCTTTAATAGCTTGAAGGACCAAAATTTTACCAAATGCTTTTTGGCAGCCAGGGTTAGCATGTGCTTCACCATGCTCCCCCCTATTATAATGTCACTATTTGCAGCCATAAAATGTTCCAACTTTGGTATAGCATACACAGTTTGTGGAATAGATCTTTGTTTTGTTTTTATGTTAGAATTACACCATATATATAAGCTCTTAGACTTATTGTCAACTCCGATTTTAAAGTATTTAAATATTAAAATTAACAGCACTAATAACTTTCATTATACACTCAGCTTCAAAGTAAAGTCACTGGTAAAACTGGCTGTAAGGCTACATATACAGCCTGGGTTAATATTCCAAAAGGTGAACCTGGTACAGATGTTCTCTTTGTTACATTTAAGTAATGAAGCCAAGAAACACAGTATAGACTAAAAAGTGAAAAGAAAATGGATTACACAGTGTTCATTTTGAAATATTTCAAAGGAAGTGATAAATCATAAAGATACATAATAAACGTTTCTTGACACAAACTTACAGATTCAACAACAGCTAGTCTCCCCTTCACAAGCTCCTCAGTGTGTTTACGGTAGGCAGCTTCCTGAGGCATTTTTTGTAAAGCTCTTAGAATTTTGTTGTACAGCACACTCAGCGTCTAGAAGACAAATATGTAAATGTAAGCGACTGAAATGGTGCACTCAGTTACTAATTCTCAATCACCATACCTTTGTAGTGTTAATGTTTTACTCAGAATTGTTTTACCATATAGTAAAAAAAAGTCTTAACATACAAATTTGTACAGAAGTATGCAAAACTTCAAAAGTAATTTTACTTTTTCTTTCAAAAATATATGATTTTTATATTGTACAAAAATTAAAGGAAAAGAAAATTTAAAAATAAATTTAGCTTCTGATGTTGATTTAGGATTAGTGTAGGTGGTGATGTTTGTTGAGATCATTCATCTGTTATACAACAACTGCCTGCTATGTGAAACTTTCACAACTTAAGGAGTTTTAGTATAATGAAGTGTAAACTTACACACTGGAGACAGGGAAATTTGAAAAGATGTACGTCCTGTGATATAGAAACCTAAAAATGTATTTCAAATGGGTACCCACCTCTCCAAAGAACAAACAGCTATTAAGGTCTTTTCTACATGTGACAAGTCTTTGAATGGAATTACCAACCCTACATGAAATAATATGTACTGCACAAGTCTACGATGCAATCAATGTTAGAGTATAGCCCTCGATCAATAGAAGGATGACATATCCTCCATACAATATTACTCCTGAGCACATTGTGTATAGAAAAATCTCATTTTTGAAAAAGCAAAAGAGACATACATTTTCAGGTAAGGAAATTGTTAACTTTAGAAATGCTTCTCACATTTCCACAGAACAGACAGCTAGAATCCCACATGTATAAGAAGGTGGAGGGATCAGTGTAGAAAAAGAAATTAAAAAAGATGATCTCCTTTTTGAGAATACAATGGCAAAAAGGGAAAACTTATGGAGTGTGTCACACACTGAAGGGGGTGATCTAGTGGGAGCATCACTTGGTAGGACATCCCAACCATCTCATGCAGGAAATAATACTCTTTGCCCAAAATAAGTTGTATGGGAAAAGGTACTGTCAAAAGAACATCCAACATGGTGTTGAAGAAGCACAAAGTTAGGCAAAATGTACAACTTACTCAGCCATCTTGATATCTCAGGAGTCAGCTAACAATGTATATGTAGTATGGCTAGGGAAATAAGTCAACCACACAGTATGTAAGAAATACTTACCAGAATAAGCAAAAGTTAGGATGAATCTTATCTTCCCAAACCTGCATCTAGAGGAGAATGTAAGACCCATTCAGCTGGCCATGACCACTGGAAAGGGGTGTGGTTCTTAATGTACAACAATTCCAGGAAAACCACCCTACTTCTGATTAAGGGGCACATCCATTCATCCTTATACTAGTGGGATTACACCACTCCAAAGGGAAAATGCTCCATATCAATCTTCCCAGCAGCTTGGTATTGGGAAAGAAAGGGTTCTCCCACTCCACTAGATGAAAATAGGGGTAGGAAGAGAATTTGCATATGTGAGAAGACCAGAGAGATGCATGGTTCAAACAGGAATTTTCTATCATCACATACTGTTAGACTGCACAATGGGTTACCACAAATAGGGAAAGGAGCTGATCAGATATGAGGGCAGAAAGCATACCTGAGGCTTTTTGTTTTGAAGTAGCAATACAGTTTGCAATGTAAAAACTGCCAAAGCAGTCTTGTAGAAAACCCCATCTCAACAGTGGGCACTGAGCAACGAAAATGGGCTTAACACTTTCTGTTATCCCCTACTCAATGCAGATTTCAGGAGAGAGAAGTATTTCCTGTGAGGCAACACTGGATTCAATTGTCTCCAGTGTATATACATGTTTTTTTGTAGGTTGGGGTGGTCGCTTTTTTTGTGTGGAAACTGCAATAAAAAGTAATAACTAACAACTCACCTCTCTAGAGCCTTTGGGAAGATTGGAGTATGGCAACTGGAGAAAGATGAAACCCAAAGACAGAAAAAATTGCAATGTGATGCAAATAATGTGGCACAAAGATGTCAAGAGTCTTCCACATACCCATACTGCAATATCACATCTAGGTGATGTTAAAAGCCAGATTCAAGAGAAGTCAAAAGATGACAAACTATATGGGAGATGACATGAAAAAGACAAAATAAGTGACTTTCCATTGAGGAGTAGATAAACCAGATGAGTTATTTAACCCAACCATTTAAGATTAAAGGAGATAAAATGCAAAAAAGAAGAGTAATCCTATTGCTGACTGTCTTGAAAGGGTGTATGTGTGTTTTGATATAGCAAAGCCAGGGTAGGCATACAAGTATAGACTCGTCCAGTCCTGGCTGAATACATCTACCACTCCAGCCAATAGATGTGAAACAGGAAACCAAAACCAGGGGAACTGAAAATTGTGATGAGTGGCATAGGCATCCAGATCTGGAACACCCCAAATGGACACAGATTCCCAAAACATCTATGGGCCCAGTGACCACTTCATAAGGAAAATCCTGTTGGTACATGATAAGCAATCCATGATGAGATTTAAAGCACCTAGAATATAACAAACCAACAAATATAATTTGATGGCTATGGGCCCAAAATGGGAAGTCCAGTGTCCAAAAACAGAAGTCTTTCGACTGAGTGCCACCATGCCTGGATGTGTACGAGACCACAGTCATGCTGTAGGAATGCACCATCACTGACCAGCCCTGAAGGGCTGGAAAGAAATAACCCAAAACCAAACAAATGGTGAGAATCTCCAAGAGATTGATATGGATAGAAGACTCAGAAAGAGTTCACCACCCCGAAACCTCTCAAGCATCGAAATGGGCACCCCAACCAGATTGAGAAGCATCTATAAAGAGGTGACATTCTGAAAAGGAACATCTATAGTGGTATCGTCTCAATCCAGTCACTTGGCAAAGTCGGTATGTAAGGAAGGAGGTAGGATGAGAGGGGCATCCAAGGGATTCCAAATGAAGCTCCTCTGGTTCAACAAAATCCCCTGAAGGCTAACATGTGGGCACGACTAAGAAGGATGAGGGCTTCAAGAGAAGCTCATGTATCTAAAAGGGAGAGAACCTCTCGTACAGTGAGAAAAGAGGAGAGGCTGCAAACTAGAAGACTAACAGCCCTCAACTGAAAAAGAGAAGGTAGGGCCTGCCTAAGTAAGGAAATGAACAACACCCTAAAATGAACTATGTAATTTGTGAGGAGGAGAAAACACTTCTCCACCTGCTCCAACCAACCAACCAACCCGAGCAGCTTCTCATAGGAAAAATTGAGTATGAAGGGCAGAGTTGGCCTGCGAGGAAGCCAGAAGTAGCTGGTTATCCATTCAATAGTGGAAACAAATGCCCCGGGAATGAAAAGAATGGGCAAATGCCCAGACCACCTGATAAAAAACATAGAGAGCTGAGGCAAGTCCAAATGGAAGAGCCTGGAACTGAAACACACATCTCTGATGGACAAATAAAGATAATGTCTGGATGCAGGGGAGATAGGAATGTGTAGGTACGCATCTGACACATCAACCTTCATCACCCACAAACCAAAGTGAAAACCCAAAAAAGGGCTAAGTATAACTCCATGGTGAAACATGGGAAGACCAAAAATGGTGCATAGTTGACAGGTCATTGAGAGGAAAAACTGTTCCCTGTCTATTTGGGGATGACAAATGAGAGGGATCTCCCCAATTGATGGCACCCTTGCAAAGTGAATCTTAAAGTGCCTCCTTAAAACAGGATCCCGAGGAGGAGGGGACAAGGAGGACCAGAACCTCTGAGACCACCCTCAGAACCCAAGAGTCTATAGCAAAGGACCTCCAACCCCCACAGGATCCAAACCCACAACACAGGCACCAAGACTGTCAGTTGCCCCAAAGACAGTGCCTCAAGGACCGAAGGCAAACATCAGGAATACAAGAGGCCAAAACTATTAAGGAAGAGTATGCTGTGAGTAACGAAAACATGCCCAAGCATGGTCGTCCAAAGAATGTGTGGGACAAGGCATATCAACACCTAAAAACAACTGGTCCCATAAGTGACTCGTATGAACCACAATATCCAGAGAGGGTAGGAAACACTAAATACTAACCCAACAGCTCATCACTGAGAAGGGCACGTAGTAGAATCATAGGAGACTGGAGATAAAGATAAAGCATAACATACCTAATTGATTAACCCAATGACTACTGGCTACTAACTTTCTTAGTAGCCAATGTAAGTCTTGCTATATTTCATTCCAACAATAAAACTAGTTGATGAAACTGCTTGAAACTTCATAAGAACTTTCATAAATGCACATAGTTTAAGAAACATAAAGCCTGTTACTTTTGATAAATTTAGTTTTTTTGCGTTATGATCTTTAACATCTTGGAAAATTACATTAGGAAAGGGTATTTATAAAAAATGATTACG